TATCAGCTAATATCATACTAAAAATTCGGTCATTATGTAGAGAATTTTGGTAGAAATCAGGTAATAAATGGACCCATATTTAGATATATTTCAATGTGTGTTTTGGAGTATATTATTTATTTATTTAGGTATTGACCAGTTAAGGTTTTAAAGGAATTTTAGGAAAATATTTTGGCAATTCCATGATCGCTTTGGATTATTTAAAAAAATCTAATTTAAATATTTCATCATTACTGAGATATTCATGAGATTTTTAGTAATTTCAGAAGGTATTAAATCATCTTGATGAGTGACTCCATCATTAAACGCCATATTTTTGAAAACATTCTACCCTTAAATACCTAATAAAAACTCCACTAGCAAAGCAAAGATACATATGGTTATATTTAGAGAGAAAAAAATACCCTTTAATATTCCTAATATATCCAACATTCCATCCGTTCCGTTGACACAGGAGCGCATATCCTATTAGCTCCCAGAATGCGGCAGTATATGCGAGAAGTGTAATGTTTGACTTTAAAAAATGTGTAAACAACGAAAACTTCAACAGCCCCACACACGCATGCATATACATACACAGAAACCATTGACTAAAACGCTTCCTGACGGGTACCTGCATCGAGATCGGGGCCATTGTGCCACCCCAAAAATTTCTCAGAACTCGATCCCTTGTAAAAATTTATTTATTTATTTTATCTGAGGCCCGCCGCCGGCGCATATCCTTATTACTGCTCTAACCCGCCATGGGTGTACCGGTCGGAATGCTGCATTTACATAAAATGATAAATTTTCGTTGCGCTGAGCGCGGCATTTATCGTTTTATCGGTGCTGCTTTTGTGGGAAATTTCGCTATCATTTCGTTAGTCCGTGTTTCTATATCCGGCGGGGGAATCGAGTTGATATTGTTTTGTGCAATTTTTTTGATCTTAATAGACTATTTTTCCCTTAATTTTTCATACATACAGACCGAAAGGAATAGCTGTAGCGATTTTTGTGTCATTTGAAAGTTGCGCAAGTTATGTATTCATAGCTATTCCTTTTGTACTGTACCTATTTTATATAAATAATGTTTTGTTTCGTTAATATTTAGTGCGAAAGTTTTTGTATATTGTAAAATTATTACAATAGGGAGTTTTTTCCATGATTTTATGTATTTTTAAACTAAATGTTTTGGTTGGTTTTAAAACCCTACAAATCATCTAAAAAGGTTTAAAAACACGTAAAAACAAATATTTTAAATGTTTAAACCATTCCACTCATTCACATCAAAATATTCTATATTTTTTACTGAAACTACTGGAAGAATCAACCCGCTTAATGTACAATTTTTCGAACAAAAAGCTCGTCAGGACCAGTAACGCCACTGTGCCAGCAACTATTGCATCCTTACCTACTTTTCCATGTACTCGAAATTCTAAAAATACCATTGAATGAGTTCCGTTTTCGATTCATGAAAGGACCAACACGAGCATGCCTTTTCGGGCCGGTAAGTACCACTATGTGTGTTTTTATTATGGGATTAGTTTCACGCTACATCATACGAGAAGCAGGTTATTTATACCCCATTTGAATTAGAAAATCGGACCTGTTGCTTCGAGAGGCTCCGGTACTATTCCATTCATTCGAATCGTCGGGTGAGGTATACATTTTTTCCACAGTATTATTTCAATGCGTAATTGCTCGATGGGGTGCAATGGTATTTTGCAAATTCGCTCATATGTTCCGAAGGATTTTTTAATGAGCGCTAAAAAGCCCATTAAAGCGTTTATTAATACATCGCAATGGAGAAAAAGCGAGTAGTTACATTGTATGATACGAAATAATGTAAATTAAAACGGTCCAGCGGATTGATTATTTCTCGAAATGAAGAATACTGGTTCTGTGCAAGAGAGTATTTGGAGGCTGCTCATTTTCAATTCAACGCGCGTCTCGCCCGCGTTACTAAAAAAACTAAATTTACGAAGTACTCTCGCTTAGGATTGTAAAATATTTCCCACTTACTTCTTTCTGGACCAATTACCAACTAAACTGTAATTACTTTACTTTTTACTTTGCTCTTTTTAGTAGAGGAATTGCGATATTTTCCTCCCTTTGTTCGAAGGATAAAGATGACCAGGACTTCTGGATAATTTGTGAATATTTTTAAAACTCTCGATTAGATACCTACAAGTTTTTTTACCATTATCCTTGCTCTTACAACATTTTTTATTAATTTTCTTATATTTCTTCACTTATAAACTAATAAAGGCTATTGACATTTACCAATGAGGTCAAAATCAGCAGGATAGAAGCTCGATGCTATAAATTTGTCAAAGGATTCTTTTTATATTCTATGCAAATCTATCCAAATCGCAGGATAATTTAGCGAAACAAAACGAGCTTAATTGCATTAAGCCTCTAACTAGAAACCTCCGTAAAAAACGCAATATAATTACTTATTTTGCGCGTTGCCATTGTTAAGAAACGTGTTTGAATGAAAAACTGTCTTTTATGCTGTTCTGACCTAACAAGCTTGTCTGGTTTTTTTTATTTAAGAGAATGTCAATAACTTTGACCAAAGTTATATTATATTCCCTGGAATTATGGCTGACATAAAACCGAACTTAACTCGATTGATTTTACTGTTATACAATAAAATAAATTGGTTTTCTGATTGTAACGATTTTGTTATCAAAATCGTGGAGTAGAGCGTGTCCTGTTCTAATGAACTCTTCGGAACTTTGCAAGACGTTAAATAATGATATTGGAACTTAAAATTTGTGGTTTTTAATTAGTACTTTTATCTATTTAAATATTATAATTTAGCGGCTTTTGATGGTTTGCACGATGGGCTTCGAGCAAAGAAATGTTTGACCTCAGATTTTAAACAGGCGACAACCTTGGGGTATATATGTTGTTTTATTTTATTATACTTTACGTAATCTGCACTATTTTATCAAATGTATACAATACCCGATACTCGTGTTACAAATTTAGCCTACATTTTGCCATTATTTTCACGTAGAGAAAGAATTCGTATGATGAAAAACATCATTCATTCTCACAGTAGTTGAAATTCTATTTTATTATTCATTCTCGTTTTCCATAATCTGCGATATATTTGTTACATATACAGGGCGTCTCAATATTGTTTTATATAGGCTGTAAAACTAGTCGGAATTTAAAACATCCTCGAAGGTCGGCCGGGCAGAGAGAGGTCTATGTAACTATAATTTTTCAAATAAATTCTAGCATTTTTCACACGATTTGAATAAACGAAATGATTTCATCGGAATATTTGCTCCGTTCGAAGCGACATATATCAAGAAGATAATTTAAATGGACCCGTACTACCAGTTATGTGGTATATTCGAAATATTTGGGAATATGGAAACTGTAATTTGTCTATTGAGAATACTGGTTTAAAATATTACCCATGCAAATTAATGCGCAGGAAATCCTATTTCAATAAAAAAATTAAGTTATTAGAGATCAATGGAATTATTTTTTCAGCTTTTTTTCATGAAAAGTTCTCCTCTGCTCGTCAAATTAGTAAAGCATAGATAATGATATTCCGAATGCTGTTTAACTAAAATTTTACATGTTATTCATCGAACTGTGACAAAGCTTTCATATTAATTACAATAATTACACTAATAGAAATCAAACACTGAAATGATACGGTGTGATGATCCCTTATAATTATTTCAGAATTCAGTTAAAGAGAAAATTGAATTCCATTTTCAGTATACCTACTAGGCCTGAAACTGAAGGAAATGCTTTAATTAACTCCTAGGTAGCGCCTTATTAAATTTAATATTATTTTTTGTAACCACCCAGGCGCCAGCGTTGTTAAATGTATTTTATGGACCCACATTTTTCCACTTTCCTGCAGCTTACCCCAAATCCTGAGATCGAAAAAAAGCACTATTTACGACACAAGCGAGCAGGGGCAGCGAGTTTTCTCTTTATATATAGCAGACGCAAGAGCATTCAAATGAAGCCGCTAAGGCAAGAGGCCTCGAAATTTGAGATCGGCCTTTTGTATGCGATTTAAATTAGAGGTCTGCACGTTTTACCCGGCCCGGTCTCGTACTAGCCCATCGCACAGTGCGCCCGAACCAAAATTCCAACGGACTGTTGTTCTTATACAGGGCGTTGTAAAATAATAGCTCCAAAATATCACCATCCGTTAGAAGTTTAGTAAACAACATTTCGTGCCCGTCAGAATATAATGATTGCTTATAATTTAAGCCACCCTGTATATTGAAGTGTAATCAACGGACGTAATGACCGAAATATGTATGAGCAGTATTTTTTGATCATTTACATAATAGTTCTGGACCATTTTCTCCATTCCAATCGTTGATCGAATCCGCATCTCGCTCATCGTTCTCGTTAATAACGTGGAGGTTCAAGAACCAGAATAAAGGATGCACCGTCTGTAATTTTGCGAATACGATTTGGGTCGAATGAAATCCAAAAAAAAATATAATAAAGCAACGCCGACGACGGCCTGAATGTGAACATTACGTGTGATTATTCGCCGAATTCTTTTTCGTTTCTCCTAGCCGATTAGTTTTCTTATTAGCTCCGAAATGAGAAATGTTTTGGCCTCAGTATGCGCCCCGTTTAATTATGAAAATTACGAAAAATTGCTGTATGCTAAACAGGTATTTTTTTCTCCAATTTTTTGAACTAGTAGTTGCTGAGGATCTGCTATTTTTTTTACTATATCATCATTTTTCTACCGTACCATCATCAAACATCACTAAATTTTGAGTTCTTCTTAAATATCCCCATTATAGTTATTGGAAACGTTACAAATTTTATGAACTATTTTTGCATCATTGTACCTACTTTCATCTTCTATGCAACCATTTGAATCCCCCCTAACACCCGATGAAAGCGCTCAAAAAAATAGGGTTAACTATCGACGCGCCACATTTGACAAACAGCAATTCAATTAAAGGTTAGAATAAAATGCAAAAATTCAAAAAATTCCAAACACCCCTTCAGGCATGCCAAATTACGTGTTGGGCATTGAGCTGGGCATCACAACGATAAACGTGTCGATCGTCAACACCGATACCAACGAAACCGAGGACCAATTCACGCAAGAAACCGACAGCGACATACCCGGCGATGTGGACGGCGCCCACAAGCAGTACGTCCCCAAGATCATCGAGGTATTGAACACCTGCGTGGAGAACATCCAGGCGGTCTACCGGCAGAACGTCAGCATGATCGCGGTCTGCGGCCAGCTGCACGGCGTCCTCCTGTGGACGCTGGCGCGCGACGGCCCGCCCTGGAAGTTCAAGAAGAACTCGTACGAAATCGACGCGCAGAAAGTGTCCAATCTGTACACGCGGAAGGACGGGCGTTGCGGCAGGGAGTTCCTGGCGTCGCTGCCGCAGCCCGAGTCCCACGTGGAGCTGGCGACGGGCTTCGGCATACCCACCATCTTCTGGTTGGACAGGCACGCGCCGCAGCACCTGCGGAAGTACAACCGCTCCGGGCTGATATCCAGCTTCGTCGTGGCCATGTTGTGCGACATGGACGATGTGTTTACGACGTACCAAAGCGCGCCCACTTGGGGTTACTTCGATTGCAACACCTTGCGGTGGAATTACGAGATACTGGAAGCGGCGGATTTTCCGTTATACCTCCTTCCGGAGGTCGTGCCTCCGGGTTTCTTCGCCGGGCGGCTGGCGCAGAGCTGGAACGGGATTCCGGTGGGTATTCCGGTGGGCGCTGATTTAGGGGATATGCAGTGCTCGATCATCTCCACCATAGATACACTAGAAGACGCCATATTCGAATTTTCCGAGTCGGTGAAAATCGCCTTCGTCACTGACGATCATTTCTCGTTCGATCCGCACGATCAGAACTCCGCCTGTCCCTCCGGCAATGAAAACGTGAGATTTTGGCCGTTTTTCAACGATATGTACATCGGCGTGGCGGAATCCCCGAACGGCGGGTGCATTATAGAAATGTTTGTGAATATGTTGCATCGATGGTTTATCGATCTCGGAGTTAGCGTGTCTCGAGAGAAAATCTGGAACACTCTACTGAACATAGACGCAACAGAAGACGCGGAATCTAGGTTGAGGATCATTCCCACGTTCGTAGGAGAATCGTTTAACGGCAACCCGACGGGAACTGTTATAAATATAACCGGAACGAATTTGTCTCTGGCAGAGGTCTTCAAAGTGCTTTGCGGGGGAATCGTCAACAATTTGCACGACCAGATCTCCGCGGAAAAGCTGAAGAAAACAAATTGCTTCAGGTTATTGTGCAGCACGTCGCACAGTTATATCAACGAGCTTATAAGAAGCGAAGTCGAAAGAGTTTACAGATTACCTATGGTTTTTGTAGATAAAGTAGATGCTAGTAAAGGAGCCGCTTTAGCATTACACATCTATGGTAACGTTGAAGAGTTCATGGAGAGACAAACAGATAATGCAACGTACCACCGATATCCCACATCAGGCGAAGGGGGTAATCAATATTACTCACAACAACCTACTATCGATAGAGGACCTCCCGAAATATTCGACTACCAGGGAAGAGATACTGGCCAAGAAAGACATACCGACCATGACAAATTTGCTCACCAAGAAAGGCATACTGCCCAAGAAAGATATATTAACCAAGAAGCACACGATCAAGGAAGATATGCTGACCAAGTAAGATATACAAACCAAGTAAAACATACTGACGAAATAAAATACACTGAACAAGATATGTTTGCTAACCAAGAACGTCCTGAATATGTCGAGCAGGAAGGATACATCGAAGAAGAAATAGAAGAATCAAACTTTCCTTTGGACGATAAACCCTTAAAATTTTACCTGAAAGAATTTCATCCCACAGAATATGCCTCTCAAGAAATCTCCGATTCACCGCAAAAAATCTCTCCATTGAGCACTTCTGGATATCAATCAACAAATCAAGCCCAACATATTTACGACACCGATCAACAATTAGGAAACATTCAACTTTCCGACTCTAGGGATGTTGAGCAAAAAGATTACGATTTCTCCTTTTACAACAGAAAGCAGGAACAGCTAGGTGCAGCACCAATACCAAGAGCACCCCCTAATAGCTTGGCATCCGAGCAACACGAACCATTTCCTGGGGGGCAAACTGATTTGCAAATAAAAGGTAAGCCTAATTATCAAACTTCTTATAAAGCATCCCCGCAACAAGTATTTCCAGTAAACGTTGACGATACTCAAAAGCCTAACGCGAGAGAATCTGATCGTTATCCACGAAGAAATGGAAGACATTCGACTGATGATATATCAATTTCATCTGCTCCGAAACGAGGTTTTGTGTACCCTGATGCTGACTCGCAAAGGTGGCCGTTGCCCCAGAGAAACGTTCCAGATGATTACGTGGTCCAAAAACAATCGGATTCTGAAAAAATACCGGGAATTTCTTCTACTGATCGTCGTGCACATCTTGCTTCAACGGTCCATCGTCATTTCGTTCCAAATGACTATTTTGTACCAGAAGAAAATGCTAGGTTTCCAACGGAAGACCACACACATCGACGGACAGCTCCTTATCATCCCTTTGTTCCCAATAATGAAAATTTACAGGAAGAACCTTATCCACACAATTCGTACACGAATTCTCAAGAGAGGGGCCCACCGAGAAACAATCCTGATTTAGACCGCCGAACGAATCCACGGCCGAGTCCTAACCAAGACGATATGGGAAAGTATGCCCCATACTCTGAAAAACCTACACAAAACAACCTATATCCAGATCCACAGGGCAGGTTTCCAGAACGTTATCCTAATGTGTCTCGCAATGACCCACGGATGTCACCGGGTAGACAAGGTTATCGATCAGATAATCCACAACCTAGAATCCCTGCGATGGATTCCTCGCAGAAACCTTCAGCAAGAGATTTCCAACAAGGCCAAATACCAGCGTTTGGCAGGGACAAGTATGAACAACATGAGAGGCAACAAATCCATAATATTTCACCAAAAGGGCCACCTATACCATATCCACCAGTACCAGCATCCAAAACTTCCCCACAAACATTGGACCAGACCTTTCAACGTTACATTTACATGGATGAAGCCAATCCCGAGGATTATCCAATTCCAGGGGAAAGACTTCCTCCATCAAGGCAAAATCCAAATTATACGGGCGTTCAGGCGAGTGATGCTGGTTATTCGAGGCAACGAGATATACCGATTAGAAGAAAAGTGGAAGGTAGGCCAGGTGAGGATAACTACTATCAATCGCAACAAATTGGACCGTTGCCAATAAATATAACTGAAGAAAAAGAAACATTTTTAGCAAATGCTAGAAATCAGAGGTATCCTATTGAAGATGATTATGAGCCTCAACCAGGCATACCATCTCAATTTGCGCCCAAAGCATATCCTCATACAATAACTCAACAAGGGATTGATTATTCCTTTCCTGATACAAACAGACCTGCAACTAGTAGAGTTGACCAATATCGAAATAAAGATAATTATAGAAATATTCAAAGAGGTACTGATTCGCAAAGAGGTCCTCCCGTGGCCGGTAGATCAGGCTACTACTCAGAGGAAGAAGATTATAGACAAAAAGCCCCAACTTATCCAGCTTCGCAGAGACCTCCTCAGAGAATGATGCCAGGGAGAGCTGATCAATATCCGAATCGTCAAGATCATTCACGTAGGGGATATCCTTATCCAGAGCAACAACGGGCGCAGGCATCGATGAAAGTCACAACGAATAACGAAAATTATCCAGTCGAACCAACACCTAGGTTGGATTTTCCGACAAAGGGGTATCCTTTCCCAGGGTCCCAAGCAGCCCCGAGGACCGGTATGGCTGAATCCTCTTCTAAAGGATATCCCGAAACTTATTCCCGCAGCTCCCCGAAATCGGGCGGTAAATTGGACCTGCATACACACGATGATAGTTGTCCAATTCGCGGAACGGAATCGCCTGGTAGACTGGATGGGTCTAAATACATGGCTCAAAAAAATTCACCGTTTAAACCAGATCCTTCTTCAAAAGCGCATCCTTATGCTGGTGCGGCAAGAGCTCCTTCGCCACAAGCCGGTACATCTACTGGGCAATACACGACCCAAAAACAATACGATTCGTATTACCGCGCAGATTTTCAAGGGACCCAACCAATACCAGCAGGTAGAACTGATGATATGCCAGTAAGAGTGCAGCAAAATATTTCATTCAAGCCTGACTTATCAGCGAAAAGATCTCCTTATGCTGATTCGCGAGGAGCCCCTGCGCAACCGTCTACTGCTGGTAGGCCACCATACGAGCCTCAGCAAGGTTTTGCATTCAAGACAGATGCCCAATCGAGAAAATATCAGCAACCAGATATGTCAGAGGCAACAGCTACAACTGACGCCGGTAAATATTTGTTTATTGAACCACAAGTAGATGCACCGAAAGAATATGTTTCTGAACCAAATTATCTGTTTCAAGTCGAACCTTCATCCAGGGATTATTCTAGTACAGGTCCTCAAAGGAACGAACCAACTACAAGCGGTAGGACTGCGGATTCTGGTAGATACGTGATACAACAAGGTACTTCTGGTAAAACGGATTCATCCTCGAGGAGATATCCTTATCCAGAACCTCAAAAAAGGCAACTAACTACATCTGAAAGGGCCGAGACTGAGAAGTATGTACCTTCTCAACCTTCTTATCCTGATTCTTCATCGAAAAGGCCTCCTTATCAGGAATCTCAAAAACCACAATCTGCAGCACCTGAAAGAGCCGAGTTTGAAATGTTTTCACCTCAACCTGATTCTCCACAGAATGTTGATTCACCTGGAAAGAGATATTCTTATGAGACCCAAAAAGAGAAATTCACAACTCAACAAAGTTATCAAACGAGGCCTGAAGGGAAGCAATATCAAGAATCGCAGAAAATTCAACCAACTGTACCAGACCGATATGTCTCTCCACAGAAGACGCAAGCAACTCCGGGGGCGCCTGATACAGAACAATATGCACATCAGAAAGTTTACCCGCAGACATCTGAGAGGAAAGAATATCCTGCATCTCAGAAAAGTCAATCCACCAGCGGAAGACCCGATACTGAGAAATATGCGCAGCAAAAAAATTATCCATCTACACCGGAAAAACCGTGTGAATATCCAGAATCACGAAAAACTCAACCGTCTGCAACAGGTAGGCCTGATCCAGAAAAATATCCTCCTCAACAAGGTGCTCCCCTGAAACCAGATTCGTCTGAAACGGCCAAAATGCAAAGGCCACCTGACAAATCTGACGAAAAATATGCGCCTCAAAAAAGTTTGCCGCAAAAACCAGATAGAAAAGAACATGCGGAGTCACAAAAAGTCCCATCAACTCCTGCCGGTAAATCAGATGCTGATAAATCCCAACCGAAACCTTCAAAACTACCTGTTTCTGCAACAAAGCCTCCTGAACCAGAATCTAGGGAAGCATCAGCAAGGCCCACACAAAAACTTAACGATGACACACCAAAGGCGCCTTTACCTTCTCGAACTGCGAAAGACCTTAGTTCGATTCCTGCTACAAGTCCCGAAAGAGTTCCGAAACCGGCAAATCCCCCTAAATCCCAAGCAAGTCAACCAAGCGGAAATGATCCGGGAATTCAACCAGCTGAATCCCTTCCAATGCAAAGGCGTGCGTTCGAAAAATACACCGAGGAAAGTCACACACAACAGACGCCTCAAGATGACGCAAGATACAGCGAGTACCAGGCTCCTCCGCCGAGAAGGCCCCAAACAGCTCCTAGTTCCGCCGAAGCACGCGCAGCTTCTGCTTCTAGATCGAGACATGCTGCGCCGAGATCTAGAAGGAGGGGTAGCAGGCAAAACGACATGCAATTATTGGAAGAGGGAACTTTGTTTTCCGAATGGGCTCCGCCGAAGACCTTTTTGACACCCAGTGCTACTAGCACGTTTCCGACCGAGGACGATGATTTTTCTCTAGAGGATCTCCCAAACGATGATGAAACTCAACGGCCGTTCGATTATACTTCCTACTATTACGATTACACGTCTTTAGTCGACAACTCTTACCCAAGATCGTATGAAATTACGGGAAAGTACAAGACCAAAAGAATAGATTCGAAAGCGGGCGGTTCTTTGCAAGATACTTGCCTAATTCCGCGATCAGCATTATTGAATGGCAGCGATGTAAATTTAAATGATATTCCTAGATTAGTTTCGCCAGAGAACGTTATGGAAGGCACATCGAACGTAGGACAAGAAAGGAGAGTTTTCCCATCGCCTTCCTCAAGGCAATATTCGATATCGTCAACAAATCAAGGTGCCTCGACTTCGTTACGTTCAATACAAGGTAAAAAATCTTTTACTAATGCTGGCTATCACCAATTCTTATCACCAAAGAAGAGAGAAAGTTCATTATCATTACCAGGACCCTCTGAAAATGACAATAGTGCTGTTAATGGCCAAACATTTTTACTACAAAAGGAGAAAAGAAATTTATCAACGGCAACTTCTTCTCCTCACAAATCATTTACAGATTATAACAGAAGTGTTCCGAAAGGTTCTGATCAAGCTGCGCCGACGCCAAGGGAAAGAGAGAAAGTATTGGTTTCAACACCTCCTACCAGTTCAAATGCAGATGATACTAGAGCGCGCCTAGTGGCATTTGAATATCAAATAACGGTACAACCAAGTGATGTAGAACACTTATTAACACCATCAAAATCCACTATCAAATCGTCTGTAGATAATAGTGGTGGTCGTCAAGTCCCTTTTGATGATCAAACAACGTTGACGCCAATCGAAATCGAAAACCAGAATTTATTCTTATCTGATGTCGATACATTTCCTACCGAATTGCAAGAAGATGATAGAACTTATCTAATGTTAGAGGATCAAGAAATTTTACAACAAAGCGAAAGAGAAAATTTATTAACAACATCAAAATCTTATATAAATCGGTCTGTGAATGATCATACAGATATTCTACTTTCTAAGGATGATCAAGATATGTTGGACCAAATTGGAGAAAATTTGTTGCCAACATCAACAGCTCCCTCTAACAGAGATGATCATGAATGTCGACTATATCCACCTGACGATCAAGAAGAGTCGTCATCAAACAAAAGAAACGATTTATTTTCAACATCAGCACCTCCCGCCAAGCCTACTCGTATAATTTATTCCAAATATAAACTGCCTATTCACAATAACAAATCCGTCTCGTTCTTACCCCACGACATCGATCCCAGCGCCATTTCTCAATCGCCTTCGCCGGATAACGAAAATACTGCCCTATCAATTTCAGAAGCAGTCGAAGACCTGCCATCATCGAGTAACAATTCCGCACTACATTCTACAGGAGACCACCCGACTATTAACACTTGGTCGACTACCACCGTAGCTTCGTACGTGGGATCAGTTCTGCTGGGCAACAGGAACTATATTTTGACTACTGGACCAATAGGATCGACTCAGCAGGACGTGAGCCTCACGTCCTCGTCTCCTACGGTTTACAATTCGATCGATTCGGAATCGCTGGCTAATAGAGGCATGACTGCCAATAATCCCCAGACACCGAACAATGCTCCAAATGCTCCAAATGCTCCAAATGCTCCAAATGCTTCACATCCTCCGTGTGCTCACGATGCTATAGCTTGTAGGTGTTTGTAAACGTGAATGTAAAAATAAAAAATGGTACTGATGATACTTGATTTTTATCAATAATGGTAATTGATGTATATTTATTATCACAGAACGTATTCTTCCTGATAATTCTGGAACTCTTGGCAATCCTTGCTTTCTTCGCCAGTTCTTTGGCTGAAAGATTCCATAATATTCCTTTTATTGTCTCTTTATTTCATAATAATAATAATAAGGGAAGAAGGGATAAGCCCACTATTTTCCTATTGATTGTCATTTGTCAAATTATCCTTTCAACGCTATACCAATTAACTTTAGAATAGGTACTCACCTCAGTGATTATTAGCACGGAAAACTTAATAACAGAACATAGTAAAGTATAGTAACTCAAAGAAGTTGCGGTAAGTTTGAGGTGGAACCGAACGAAACGAGATGATCCCATCTCTAAAGGGAACGAAACCGCGAGAAAGAAAAGGAAGAAAAATGGTTGGTGTGTCGAGTCCGTTCCACACACATGTGGAATGCCTCGGCATCGAGACCTGTTTTTGCTGGAAACATATGATTCGTTCAGGGCCACCTCCGATGTCTACTCATGTAATAAATATATACAGTGTTGAGCGAAAACGTGGAAGGATATAAATTCCGTTTTGTACACACTTAATTATACTCTTAACTCTACCGGCGGTTTGCGTATTCGATACAATGTAAACGGTTTTTTCTATACACACAACTGTTGATTAATTCGTTTTTAGGATATTTAAGATACTTATTAAAATTGCGAATCTGTCAGTTTTGACATCCAAGGCTAACTAAGATTATTTAAAAATTTTTTGTACTTGCTAAATCCATAGCAAATCTAAAAACATTAATTATACATATAGTTTGCACCACCTGATACTAATTTAGGCGCCTACAATCGTATTAAATTCACTAATTTATAAATTTATAATCTACTGAAATGAATTGTTCATGTAATTGGGTAAAAAATGATTGTGTATCTGTCAGTTTTGACATAGAATCTAAGTAGGTTTGTTTGCTAATTTCTGTTTTGTTCGTACCAAAATTATCTAATCTAACGATATTTCTTTACATACAGATCATATAAGCAGTGCATTTTCTTCAAACAATTTTATTCACTCATTTGATTAATTTAAATGACATTTCTAAACTGCACGAAATTTTTATCTTATTTGTATGTGTATCTGTCAATTTTGACATCCAAGGCAGGCCTTGATTTATTTCACGGATTCTCTAATTCGAATAGTAGATATTAATTTAACTCCAGTAATTACGTAAGTACATAATATACTTTACTACTTTAGAATAGAAATTCGTTTTATCGTAAATTCGCTCGTTATTGATGTTTTAAAATGACATTTCTACCCAATTGCTTCAAATTTTATAACTATCTATATCTGTCAATTTTGACATCCAAGGCAGACCTTATTTGTTTACATCCATGTACATTAGAAAAGATAATTCTCGGAGATTACCAATTTATTTTCTAGTATGTAATTGTATTAATCCACTCTTTTTTAATAAAAATAATACGTTTCCATTCAATTGCTTCTGAATTTCTTCCCCCTCTGTGTACTTGTCAATTTTGACAGTCAAGGCAGACCTTCTTTTTGTTTGATAAATTCCCTAATTCGAATCCTTTAATCAAATTCCAATACGCAAGTTATACGTAGATTATCTACATTTGAATAAATTTATTTTGGAAATTCGTTTTCCAGTATGTAATTATAGGAATCCGTTTTTTTCACATTTCCATTAAAATGCTTCTAAATTTTATCGCCCTACGTGTACCTGTCAATTTTGACATCCAAGGCTAACTATGATCAAACAAACTGTCATCATCGCGTCAAAAAAAACCGATTCAACAACAGAACAAGTATCAAAGTATTTAAAAGGAAACATAGCCGATGCTTAATCATTGCGATCAAGTATAGACCATAATAGAGGATATTACGTATCCGCGTACGCCCGCATACGAAATTAGAATGCGGTAGGTTTGGGATCCGTCGCGATGGATCGGCGAGAAGTCTCATCTGCCGGTTAGCCGGCTAAACGGGGCATTAGCGAAATCCGGCGATGACCTAAAAAGAAAAGAATGTCATTCATTCGAACCGGCGAGAGAGGATCCCCTCGCGGACCTAGAGCAGTCGAAGACATGTATACGCGAATAGAGTTCCATACGCGGGTTCATTATCCCTTTGGTCCGACGATTGTCGTCGAAGCCAGCCGTTCGCCGGCCAGCGAGACGTTTTTTCCGCGAATTTCGAATTAATTCGAGCCGTTAATCGCTCGCTTCGAGAGATGTAGTTTCCCGTAAATTCGGGTTCAATCGCATCGTAATGGCCCAATTACGATTCAGGAAAACTACTGTTACTGCTATTAAGTGGGCAATAGTTGTTTAGAAACCGAATACGATTGCATAAAAGTTGTAGTATAAAGCAGAAGTGTTTCCCGTTTGATTAGAATAGTTTATTAATAGATATTGCTGTTAGTTATTGGTGAGTCCAGCTGAGGATCGAATCGAATTTTCCCTGCATTCTATTTGATGTTAATGGTCCTATTCACGCTGATGATCATCAGTAATTGGTATAAAAACGGGCGATTCAATATTACTAAAAATCCCCGCCGAAGGAATTCCTTTCATTTTAATTGAACGCTTCTTCTCTTTCTTCGGCCAGAAAGAAAGTCATTCTCCAATAATATATATACCTGAAAACTATCTCTATTATAATTTATTCTTTTGGCCGCGCCGAAAAGAAAGAAGGCACCTACTTTGTAATTATTGGATCCATTCGATCTTGCCCGGATAGAAGAGCGAGGAGCGAAACTTCAGATTTAATCAAAATTTATGGATTTTCTGGCCGTAAATCCTGTGAAGTATTTTTATAGAAAACGGAAAGAATCCTAATCGTTGGCGCCTATTCGATCTGCTTCGGATGTAATTTTCGGCAATTTGTCGAAAAAATCGCCGCGCATAAATCTAGACCAGGAGGGATTCCTATACTAAATATTTGTGATTATTGTGTCATCATAAATTTGTTTAAAATTGACCCATACTTTATAAATATTGTTCCCATCCTAGGATTAATAATGTTCCTATACAGGTAAGTGTAAAATTGTACGCAATATAGATATATGGGTGCAACAATGACAACTCGCTTCCATTAGTCTAGTATAAAGGAGAAAGAGAGAATGATGTTGTGGAATTGCAATTTTCTCAATTTAATCACTGTTATTTTATAATCTTTCTTTGTTTAACTTACTCACTTCAATGCTGCCCTTACCCATACATACTACTCTGATTAATACCATTATTTTGAGTTTTCACTTATTTATTTACCAGTTTTGCCTGATGCCAATATTTTTTGAGTTTTTTAAAGTTGAAGATTTTTAAGCTTTTTTTCTTTCGAGTTTTCTCAGTTTATTCGTAAGTCAGTTATTTCGTTCGTTATTTGAATATACATATTTATTATTTGGAAAATTGAGTAGTAGGTACCCTTTTTTAAATGCTCTTCGAAAGGGGGTTAATTTACACCTTTGTTACCTCAAGACTGCATTATCGCAAAAATTGTAAAAAAATATTTGCAAATGAAAGAAAGCCAATTTCGATTCACACGTCGCGACCCCCCGGTATACACATCAATCCCCCGAGCTTCGCATTGTTACGTGGGAAAAACAAAAATATTCGCCTCGACTCGACCAAAAATCCAACGTATTTATTTCCTGGTCGCCGGTGAACGACCGAATCCATTGGTCGATATGCTCCAAAACAACCGTCTTTCTGCTCATTTCTTTTTATAAAAAAAAATTACCGATATACATTTATTGTCGAGATGAACAATAAATGTTTTCACCGTCTTAAAGCGACAGCTGCCGCCGCGCCGTTTCAAACCGGTCTCTCTCGTATCTTTAACAGCCCATGTGATTTCGACTAAACGGTTTCCATTCACTTCTCGTACCATCCCCTTTATTAAATGTCAGCTGGTCGCGTTTTAAAGTCCCAGGAAGCGCAAATCGAAATTGCGCGTTTCCCTCGTCTCTTTAAACTCTTCATTAATATCGGATTAAATGCATATTCGAGAGAAAATGCGGTTGGTTCCGACATTTTTTCACCAGAAATCCTATTTCATTCACCCAAAATTTTCTATTAGGCTTAAATAGTTTGCTTGATAAACTCCTGGTTGGTTCAAACCTGTCTAGTGTACTAAAGCCTATTCAAAGAACCGAGGATATGCCAAATTACAGTACCTAGCTTAAGACCCAAGACTTGTCTAAGAACTGTGATTAGCCAAAGAGCCGAGTCTACCCAAACAGCCGCCTTGTTAAAGAGCCAAGACTATTCAAAGAGCCAAGCCTTGTCAAAGAGCCAATCCTAGTTAAAGAGCCAATCCTAGTTAAAGAGCCAATCCTAGTTAAAGAGCCAATCCTAGTTAAAGAGCCAATCCTAGTTAAAGAGCCAATCCTAGTTAAAGAGCCAATCCTAGTTAAAGAGCCAATCCTAGTTAAAGAGCCAATCCTAGTTAAAGAGCCAATCCTAGTTAAAGAGCCAATCCTAGTTAAAGAGCCAATCCTAGTTAAAGAGCCAATCCTAGTTAAAGAGCCAATCCTAGTTAAAGAGCCAATCCTAGTTAAAGAGCCAATCCTAGTTAAAGAGCCAATCCTAGTTAAAGAGCCAATCCTAGTTAAAGAGCCAATCCTAGTTAAAGAGCCAATCCTAGTTAAAGAGCCAATCCTAGTTAAAGAGCCAATCCTAGTTAAAGAGCGAATCGTAGTTCTTTTCCTCATAATTGGTCGAATCTATTACGAAATATCAAAATAATATACCAAACGGGCCTGAATCGAGGGAACCCTTCGGTTCTCGTGGTTGCACCGCGTCAGTTGGGGCTGGTGATCGGTGAGCCCGTCGGCGTTACCCCCGGCCCGGTATCGGGTTCTTTAAAATTTAAATGGCCCGACTTTCCGATTTAATGGCAACCCATCTCCCGCCCACGATCCAAATAAACCCCCGTTAGCCGAGCGGGGCTCCGACTTCGAGAACCAACCACACAGCGCCACGCGCGGCGCCTTGAATTAATCCCTCGGTGGATTCCTATACAGGCTGTCCCGGTTTTTTAACGCGCATGTGACCTTAGGGTCTTCCGCTATTTCTGCCGGTCTGGAGCTGTACAATAGAATTCTGCGCCTAGTTACAGCCCGCTATTAATGAATGCGTGTACGTACGAATGTTTGCGAACGTTTCAATGTTTACATATTCTGTTCTCGGAAGAATTTGCTGACGGAAATTGTCGCCGTTTCGTGGTGTCGGAAAAAAATGTTTCCGATTGTCGCGGGCGTCACACTGCGATTTTCTCGCTGCAATTTCATTAGTAGTTTCATCGGAGAAAAACGATTTGTAATGCATACAACGGCGCCTCCGATAATCTGCTTCCATTGACTCATATGTACGACATAGTTTCATTAACGATTTTGTGATTAATTCGTTCGAGGAAATATATTATGTTGGTACAGACAGTCACGGATGTAATCCTAGATTGTTATGCACGTTTATGAAATACTTTGGAACCTACCTCAACAAATACAGGGTGATCCAAACACGGTGGAATTAAGGTCCGAAATTATATTGTGTATGTTTGTTGATGGCACGGAACTGCACCATTCGGAACCATTTGCGAAAATAAATAACCGACAATTATGTTCAGTGTTTATAAACGTGAGATGCCGATGAATTCCGAGAAGGTCTAGACTAAATCACGAGACGTCCATCTTCTCCACTTCGGTCCAAAGGAAAAGAACAATTCATTAGCCACTTTGGCTTTTAGAAAAGATCTGTCGGAGATGTAACGGTTTTTCGGGGTACCTGTTTCGAAAGTTTCCACTGGTTATGTGTTTCAAGTGAAGCATAGGTAGAATATTCAAATGGAAGCCTTCTCGAAACCGCCGAAAACATGATGCGGCATACCGAATTGATGGATTAAGACCAGCGAAGGTACGAGGGGCCGTTGAAATAAGCACCTTTTGATGGCCCCTCAAATGGTACTGACAAAATATTGTAACCATTCCATTAGCATTCCGTAAAAACTAACCTTACGGCCGATTTCATAAAGAGACACTTTCATACACAGGTTGTCGCAGAAAGGTTGGAACTTGGCTCAACTACAGACACTTTATCTTAAAGCTTCCATTATTATTACTTTAACGCTTTATTCTAAACTTATTATAAAGTAGGAATAAACTGATAAGTTTGAGTTCACATGGTGGTCTTTTTTAAATAGGACAACCATCGAATATAAAGATTAAATCAGCTGAAATTATAATCCAAACGAAACTATCGGTTTCTCGTATATGGATGAGCCGAAGGACTGATGATTATCATTCCGTCGACGACTAATTAAATTAACGATCTAAATTAACAGACGACCATTTTAATGGCAGTTAAAGAGGGCAAAATGACTTACCCTATTCAAGCCGACCCCTGTACCATAAGTTTATGGGAAAAGATAATTAGTTGATGCAAATATATGGCCGGCGTTGGCCGTCTGATGAGGAAATGAAACGATTGTAATAAATTGCTCGACTCGCAATTTTACAATATTTATTTTTTTTTTACAATAACAGAACGTTAAGGGTAACATTTCTGATGATCGAAAACGATTGATTTAACTGTTGAATATTTAGAAACAAAATGGTGAGAATAATTTGTTAAATTTGTATATCTTATAAAACAGACTTTGTTTCTATATAACGCTTCGTTTAATAATTTTAATACACAAATTCAATTCGTCCCATATTGGCCCATTAGGTTTCCAGCTGTTTATTTACATTTTGCTTCATTTCTAGTTACATTTCGTTATCGGTTGTTGTTTATACTTGATGTTTCAATTTCATCACTCCTAAATGTGTCGTTTTCTTCAAAAAATCAAAGTGCGTTCGACGACATTATTATTTATTAGATATTTATAAATTATTGTGCATTTTATATTTCCTGGTTGTTAAATTGTTACGTTATCTTTAAACCTAATAAATCCAAATATCGGTTGGTTATTCTTGAAGGCTAGAACTAAAGGTAGAATATGAAGAAACATATGCCAACCTTTCGAAATTATATTATACTTCTCCCCTTCATCAAAGCAACAAATTAATAGGCCACTAGCATTGAGATAAGTTGCATTTGAAACTTGAACTAAGTTGCACTTGAACTATATATCGAATCTAAGGGAATAGAGGCCACTAATTAGGTAATACAAATTATGGATTTGTTTGACGTTTTATCAAATAACTGATTATCACTAAAAAACGCTAGCAAAATATCCATAAATAGTGAAATAAATTTTATAAATATTTGCGAATTAACAATAACAAGTTCCATGAACCCGGAGTGATGTCACTGTAATTAATATCCACATATTAAAGTGATTCTATTTGGTAACGAGTCGACGTACACATTAGTTTAAATATTTTTTGGGATAATAAAAAAAATTAGTTTGTAGTGTATTACTATGACAATTCGCTCAGGGTCAGTCGGGGCCGATGTGAGGGACCTCTAGACCTTGGTCGAACGAGACCCTCTCCCAACCTATTTTTCACCTCGTACATTTAACGAAAAAACAAGAAATTCGTTTCTAATATAAATACCGAAAAATTTTCGCCTCGGTAATATTTACACATAGATTCTCGCGAGGAATTCCCGTGTACACTCCATTGAAAACAAACAAAAACCATATCTGTGAGAACGCGACGGCATGAAAAAGTACCGGGGGTTATATTCTTTTCAACCTGCGGGCATTCAGGGCTTTCTGTGGGACAGGTAAAAAAATCAAATAAATCATCAAATCGTATAATGGCGAAGGATGTGCGCTTACGCTCTCACAGCGAATCGGCCTAATGGTCCTTGATAAATAAATATTCGATTAATTTCATGTGGAGTATTGCCCATAAGAAGCGACTTGAATTTTATGCGAATGTCGGACAAAATCTGACTAATATTTAAATCGTTGCCATCGTAGCTTCCGTGAATTTTAATTCTCATCGTTAATTTGAATTATTACCACTCCGGTCACACTGCCAGATTCTAACGAACATTCCATTACGAAAAATTTTGTCCTTCAATTTTTCCTTGTAAATTATATACTTACTATATCAATGCTGTGAAATTGCTTATTATTTTTCTAATAATTTAGCTGAATATAAAAGGTTTTCAAATATCTTTAGAGAGCCAAGAGAGAACTAGAGAGAACCAGAAGGACACCAAAAGAGTCGATTAAGTAATCGAGTATTTTACCCAAGAAAATTATCGATAATTTTCATGAATTTGTTAAATAAGATTTTACGTTAGTTTTTTAAGTAATATCTGAACATTTCGAAACATTCCTGACGAGATTTTTGGATATCCATTATTTTGCCTAATTACAAATATAAATTATGTATTCGGAAAATTTATTTACAAACAGGTTTGTAATATATTTCCATTAGGTAGGTACTCTTTATGAATGGGCTTTCAAAATTGGTCAGATTAAACGAATTTCTCGTGTATTATAAATTATCAATTCGGATTTTAAAAATATCTGCTCTTATATAATAGTTATATCGAAGCAATATTATAGGTCGACCACATTATTTACCGCATTTACTTCCTTTCTTATTATTGTGGGACTTTTTTATTTTTTAATAATAGCTTCAATATTTGACATTTATAATAATCAAAATTTTATCACAAGGTACCGGTTATTTGCTGAGAATTATTTTTTATTATAGAAGTCCATTGCTTTGCTATTTATTTTTTTAATTATTCCTATTTTTGAATAATGTTGTATACAAAATTAAAAAGACCCATTATTCAAATGTTGCACTTATTTTTGAACTATGTAATAAAAACAATAAAATTGTTCCTGTCACTGTTTTTTTAGCTGAATTTTATGGTTTTTAAAATAATTATTGCAGTTTCTGAGTGTATAAGAAATTAACATACCCACTATACAAATTCTGTTTTTTCCATTTACACAATTTCCATCGCTTTCCACTCGCCCGATGATCCAGATGTTTCCCTCGTCGCATTAATTAAAGGAGCGCAAAGGAGAAAAATCCATTACACCGGACGCATGTGATAGTTAAGTGAAATTCTTTCGAGAAGTGATTGAAACACGTTTGAAACTTAAGTCCTACGGATTTTATTAGAGAACTGCACGGTGGTCATAGGCAGTACGTGCAAATATTCATTTTTTTAGGTAAAACAATCTTCGGGCTGCGATAAAATGGCTGTTAGCATCAAGCAGTAGTAACAATGGGCGGCAAATCGGCCGTACAGTGCATTGTCGATTAGGTCGCATAAAGCGAGTGCGGGAGGGAAACTATTGCACCGGCTGTGCGCCCATAATCTCCAGGAAATTCGCCATTTCTTAAAATTTTCACAAAAAAAATATTTACTACTTAATTATTCACTTCTTTAGTTCAAACCTGTGAGAAAAGTGAGTTTTCTAAAAAAAACATCTCTAATTTTACAGTAATATACAGAATGTTCTTTAAGATGAGGGCAATTATCCACAACATCAAAAGTAAATAAGACTGTAATATTAAATGAAACACCCTGTGTATTTTGATGCAAAGAGTAAAGTTTTCAAATGTAACTGTATCTAACTCTTTACTCTTGCACTAACAATTTTTGCAACTTGATTTTTTGGCAATTTTATTGAAATTTATGAAATAATTGTTGCTTGGACGAATTGCTGGTGGAAGGAAGCCGGTGCAATTTCGCGCGCCCGGCACTTCTTTGTTTATACCTGTGTTCTTGGAAGAGGGTCAACGTATTTATAGGCCAGTCGGCAAGACATTCCGCACGAAAAATCCCACAGGGCCAAAAAGCAGTTTCGATTATTTCTCAAATTTCGATCTAATGTCGGGCACCGATCGGCTCACGTCCGCCGGGTTTCTCTGAAAATCAAATGAGGCGCTAAACGGTCCGTAGCCGCTTCGCTGTATAGTAAAAGGCCGACTGATCGGTAATGTTACAACGAAGAAATATTATCGCGGGAATACCAGAAATATTGTCCTACAGGAAATTTGTTCGAATAATACACGGATTAATCTACTATGAAGTTCATAAAAATGATCCCCTTCATATTCTTTTCAATAATTACTCGAATCACTTAAATAAACGACTAATAAATACGAGAAATGATTAAAATTAGTTATAAAATTTGGACTATCTTTCCCACTTGTTTTCGATTGATAAAACAGGTCTGTTTTCTTGAATAATGGCTTTATGGGGCACGGGGGAGTGGGCCCCAAATATCGAATGACGTTCGAGGTTTTCCAAAGAATATTATTTAGTCGCAGTCTTTCGGTTCCTGTGGGAGCATTTAAAATTTAAAGCCCACTTCTGAGTACGTTCTTATCATTTCCTCGTACCTATTGGTTTACAAACATTAATTTCACATCATGTTCGATAAAGTGCAAAGCCAGGGCCGGCATATAAATATTTTATCAGCTGCCCCGGAAAGTTAGAATAATAACTGAAGGTAATAGTTTAGTATTGTTTAGCTATTTTTATGATTTTCAAAGATTTACAAGGGTTTGTAGAAAGCTTTTTAAAGGAATTTTAAAGGATTTTTATATTTGTATATGTGAAGATTTTTCATTATTTAATGTGTTTTATGACAATTTTTATGTCTTCTAAAGGTTAAAAGATAATTTAACGGTTTTTTGAAATATTGTTGCAGAATTTAATGCGATTTTCAATTATTCTTATTTATTTTTAGTGCATTTTTTAAGTACAATTAATGGAAAAAGTTCAAATTTTTTCTGACCTTTTTGAAGCTGTTTTTCATCATTTTAAAACTGCATTTTTCTCTCATATACTTCATCAGAATAAAAAATTAAAAGAGCGATTAGAAAATTATAATTGCAGTTGGAGCCTTCCCTGTTCGTTGAGGAGCCGTTGAGTCCTTTTAAAAATTATGCAAGCGATCATTGCGTCGTGTTATGCAAAAGTAATTCGTAAATTCCCAGTAAATAAGTTATCTGACGCCCATGATAAGTTAGTAACCGACAAATATTTGCAATGTAAGACGGAGATTTGATAAACACGTCCGTATCTACGTGTACAATTCTCTCGTATTTCGTTTAAAAGGCTCGAAATTAATTATTTATTAGTCGTATCGTCGCCATTTTTCCCACCGGCATCGACGTGGTCCCATTTTACCAGATTTTAGTTTAGTTTTTCGCTGCACGTTAAGCAATGCATTTATTTGCAAAGTATTCAGTGCAATTTAAAGGGTAATTATCCTATTAAACAATGATTAAATGGCTAAAGAAAATCGAATAAAAAATCACCTGTTGCAAGGATACACCGGAGGGATTTGCGCACAATGGGACTTGCGGAATCCCAGGACATTGTTAACCAGGGGATTTGTTTGTGGGTGGGGTAGGTATTCCACTAAAAGGCACCGTTCCCTTTTACCTTTCGAAGGTAAATCTATTATTTATTCTGTCACTACTAATAGTTATTTTCTCAGCACGATCGACTCCGGCGTTTTGGCTAATCATGCCTGTTCTCGGTATTTCAGATTCTTTTTTATGAAATTCATAGGGCTTTATTGCCACCTATACCATCTCGTTGAACGGCTAATTCATTTCGGATTTAATTGATTTTTTTTTCGTTCTTTTCCCAAACTGAACTAGCACATTAATTCTTTTCTATTTACAATCTTGCCAATCTTGTGGATGAAGCAATTACTTACTTAAGATTCGCTATGTTAAGGGATGGTTTTTGGTGAATTTTTGATAAATTTTTGGTGAATTTCCCTCTGGCAACAGTGCAAACAAATACCTAAAACTCCCATACCGAGTACATGCATTTATAATTCGCAATAATACTTAATTTTGGGATTAGTAAATACCGCCACGTCGCATTTTTAAAGGAGTCATTCCATTCCTGCGTTTATTCTGTTAGCACAGAGGTGTCGACCCCCCAAAGTCTACCGACTATGAAGTGAAGGTAAATATAAAAGAGGCTTTACCAGATCTAGAAAGTGACTTTTCTTTGTTGCGGCGCAACGGAATGCAAGCGTTTTGCTCCAGAGTCGGCATTGTTAATTTTTAAATTACCTTTTCACAATCAAAATAATACTAATTTAATTTGAACTATCGATTAGTATCTACTATAAACTTCTAATTAATTCAACGCAATACTAGTTAATTAACCGGTTAATATTGATAATAAACGCGAATTTGTGTATCACTCGCCAGGGGAATCCCCCAGGTTAATTCGCTTAAAACCCCCACAAAAAATAATTTACATTATCTCTCGAAACAAAAGCTTAATTTCGAGCAATAAGCGCAGGCCATCTCTGGTCTGCTTCTCGAGTACCTTGAACAAAATGTCGTCGTCTGTCCTTATTTAGCCTACATCCAGCTTAGCGAGCCACTTTTTTTAACCTACAGATTTAGAGATTCAAACTACATAATTCACAATGTCGATGCGTATGGTCCAATTAAACGACACTAGCGAACTAAGTGTAATGGGAGCCTTCGGTTGAATTCCAAAGAGCGA